AACCCTGTAAGCATTAGGCTGAGCCATGGTCCCACTACATGTCACAGCATGATAAACCCTGTAAGCATTAGACTGAGCTATGGTCCCGCTACATGCCACAGTGCGATGGAACCTTGGAAACATTAGGCTGAGTGAAATAATACATCAGACAGAAGAGACCACATAGTCTCTGGTCCCACTGATACAAAATATCCAGAGCAGGCGATAGGCCCAGAGGCGCTGTGGAGCTAAGTAACAGTTTAGCTCAAGAAGTAAAGGTAGTTGATTTCGAGTACCATTTTCTTCTTTTATTAACTTCTTGTTGTGAATTGAGTGGCGTTTACAGACAAAATCGTCAGCTTTACATTCAACAAATCATACACTTTATTCCATTTCAATATCTACCTTCCCCTCCACACAAAACCAGTTCTCCTGCTTCCTCCCTTTGGTCCCTATTTCCATTGCACCTACCTTCCTATCCCTTCTCAACTGTCTTTAGGCACACGTTGCCCTTTTGATTTTGAATGTCTGATCATTCCACGGTGAGCAGACCTTACGAGTGTTGTTGTCCCCTCTATATACACCTGTCTCCTGCTTGGCTGAAAACTGAACCACAAGGGTGAGTGAGTTCCTTTCCAGACCAGAAGGGTGGTCGAGGGCCATAGTGTCAGGCTCCTCCAGTCTTTTTCTAACCAGTAAACCCAGTGTTGTTCTTTTAAAATAATTTTGAGCTTTGTTCCACATTTCCTTCCACTCTATCTGAGACCCTCTAATGTGAAGCTTTTCAGAGCAGTGGGTAGAGGTAACTAGGTACCGTCTAGCCTTTCTGGTCTCAGACTCATGGAGACTGTTATTCACGTGATCCATCAGCTCACTGGACTGATTCCAAGCATCTTCAATTCTCATGAGTCTTCTTACTTCTACACATGGAGAGACCAACAGCTGCATCCTAGGCGGCTGCTCATGAGCATTCCGATCCAGATGCTATTCATGTCAGCAGGATGCAGAGCACTATCTCTGTAGAGTGTTACACTAACTGAGCATGGTGTCCCCTGAGACTGTGGTCCGGAGCCCCCAGGCCCATAAACTCACTGCCTTAGGATGTTTGATAATATCTAGGAATTTTGCATCATTTTGCTCACAGTATGCTCCACCACATTCAGAGTTGTGTTTGCAGGAAAATACCCAAGTAAACATACCTTCTTTAAAACACTTACATATTGGTGGGATATACAAATATATATATCCCACTTTTCCTCCCTTAGCCATTCAGCCTACGCCTCAATTCATGTGGTTCCAAGGGTGTGTATGTATCAGCACTTAAGTGCTGTATTTCCTTATTTCTTAGTTTTCTCTACACACAGACCTCAGAGATAATGCAGGTTCAGTTCCAGACCACCAGGGTAAAACAAGTCACGCGGTGGTCTGTGAAATCTACAACAGCATGATGAACAAGTTTGAAATACTGCGAGAATGACCAAAATGGAACAAAGACCCTAAGTGAGCACGCAGTGTTGGAAACACAGTGCTGACAGATGAACTTGACATGGAGTTGCCACCAATCCTCAATTGCCACAAAAATCACAGTATCTACAAAGCATAGTAAAACGAGGTATGCCTGGACAGGATCAAACGGAACAGCAGTGTCCAAGCTCTGAAGAGAAGGCTGGGGGCAGGGAGTTAAAGTTAGTGGGAGCAAAGCCACAGACTGAAACCGAGATAAGACCAGAGATGAGGAGGATGTAGGCACAATGTGAAGACCTTCCGAGATAACACCAGAGATGAGGTGGATGTAGGCACAACGTGAAGACCTTCCGAGATGAGACCAGAGATGAGGAGGATGTAGGCACAATGTGAAGACCTTCCGAGATAACACCAGAGATAAGGAGGATATAGGCACAACGTGAAGACCTTCCGAGATGAGACCAGAGATGAGGTGGATGTAGGCACAATGTGAAGACCTTCC